ATTTGACTCCTCTGTTGGCTGATCCATCCGTGAAGATCACAGCATCTCCATGTTCACTATGCTCTTCTATCAGGGTTTCAATTTCAGCGTTTGTAGCTCCTAGTGGCCAGTTGCGACATTCTCTACCCAATGTTGCCTTCACTGTTGTGTACTGTCCGAGCGCACCATCGACCACAACCCAATCCCTGCCTCTCCTAATGCCTTGTATCTGGCAGCACTCGTTGATGGTGTTCGTGGCTTGAGTCATCCATTCTGTGCCCCTCTTTAGTCTTGATGTCATCTGCCGTCCCACTCTCTTATGTAGAGGGTTCGTCTCGTCTACGCTGACTCGCTGAAAGGCTTGGACTTGTGCCAGTTTGTGCCTCTCGTCTGCACATGAGAAGTCTAGGAAGTATCTCATTGCTTCAGTTGAGGTATCTCGTGTGCACCCCAGGATTGCCCTCATTCTTTCATTTTGTAACACCTCGAGTCATTGCAGTTGCGCCTTTGATAGGGTCAAGAGTCCGAGTCCGTACTCTACGACAGAGAGTACCAGCGTCTGGTAGAGGATGACAAGGATTTTCTGGCTCATCTTAGCTCTGGTCATCATCTTATGGGCTGTTAGGCCTTTTCTCGCCTTGGAGATTGTTCTCGTGATGTGATCTTTGCCAGAGAGGGTGCGATCAAACGTGATGCCCAAGTACTTCAGTGTGGGTTCCCTCTTCAGCACTTTGCCTCCAATCGAGATACTTGACATGTCATCGTGCACTGAATGGTTATTCAGTGTACACCACAGTGCACTGGATTTATTTGGGTGCAGTTTCCCGTTGTACGCCTCACACCACTGATCAAGTCTGTCGAGTTCTTCCTGTACTCTATCCGCTGTAACCTGGCGGTTCTTGCCCTGCCTGTACACCAGCACATCATCAGCAAAACTGAGTACACGTCCGGGCCCCTCCAGCTGGTTGGAAGTAATCCCCATTGTTGCCACTTAAAATCATCAAATAATTTTCCTTGTTTTTGTTTGTTGCTTTTCAGTTTTTCTTTCTTCCTTCTCATCCACCCACCCAACCCTAACCCTTTTCCATTTTATTTTTCTTTTCGATCTTTTTGCTTTGTATTTGTGTTTAATTTTAGTTATCTTAATTAAACAAACTCAGCAATTCTCGTTCCATAGATTTAGCCTATACCATTCTGTACCTCCTCTTCTCCTCCCCAAACATAGTTGTATACACACACGCGCACGCACGCGTGCACACACACACACACACACACACACGCACACACACACACTCACAAACACACACACGTACACACCCCCCAAGCAGTCGGCGATGAAACCAACCTCGCTCGCCTAGTGACGTGGCCCATCACGCGCTTTGCGGCAAAGCGAGACCATCACGGTACGGACAAAAGCCCAAAGAAGAAGTGGAATATATTGGTAGTAGAGAGATTAAGCGACGAGTGAGGCAAGGATGTGTTACGTCACCAGACCTTAACATGTACAGTGAAACAATCCTTTGAAGCCTAGAAGAATGTCCAGGTTTCAAAGTAAATTGAGAAAAGATTAATAACATCAGGTATGCAGATGACACAGTTTTGATAGCAGGCTTAGAAAAGGACCTTCAATTGCTTCTAGATACTGTTGTAATAGAAAGTGGACGTAAAGGATAATTGTTGAATATAAAGAAAACAGAATGCATGGTAATATAAAAAAGCAGCAAAGCCTAGTTGTAATCTCATTAGCAAAGGTGAACAGATCAAACTAGTCCAACAGTTTAAATATCTAGGATATATGATAACATCTGATGCCAAGTGTTCCACAGAAATAAGACGGAGAATTACAATGGATAAGGCTAGTTTAAATAAAATGAGCCCAATCCTGAAAAATAGAAACATCTCAATGAACACCAAAATGAAAGTTCTGAAATGTTATGTTTGGTCAACCCTTCTATATGGCTGTGAGTGCTGGACAATCACTAAAGACAGTGAAAATAAAATAGAAGCAACAGAAATGTGGTTTCTTAGGAGACTGCTAAGAGTATCGTAGAAGGAAAAGAAATCAAATGAGGTATTGATGAGGCCCACGCGGGACGCTCAATGTTGAAAACAATCAGGAAACGACAAATGCAGTTTTTGGGACACATAAATAGACATAAGGGTCCTGAATACCTAGCTCTCACTGGCAAAATTGAGGGCAAGCGAGGCAGGGGAAGGCCCAGAGCAACATACTTGGGGAACCTAAACAAATGGGTAACAGGGAAAGATCAGGGAAACGTTGATTAGCTTTTTTGAGAGCCTCCGAGCAAAGGAATGAATGGAGAACAATGATCGCCGATGTCTGTCACAGATCTGGCACTAGATGATGATGATGAGAGAATCTTTAGTCTTACTGTCTTTCTGTCCCTAAACATAGATATAAACCACTACTCACTAAAATAAAAGCCGCCCCTTTTCCCCACACCCTTTCCTTTTCCTTTTTATTTTTTTGATTCTGCTAGGACTTGTCAAAGGGGTTGTAATCGAGCGAGACTTTGTAAATTTGATTTCAAGAGTAACTTCCCTTCTACCGGAAATTGAAAGAAATCGTATCTTGCCACTTTTCCGTTTATGATACTTTACTTTTTTTTTCCCCAAGTAAATGTTGATTTACAAGCAAATTATAGAAGATTGTAATTCTTACTTCTTCATCAAACTTCAAGTAATGAACAGAATACAGAATACCAGCCGGGTATATGTGAACTTTGAAAAACTATTAATTTGTGCACCCAATTTAATAGATTTTGGCTTCTTGTAAACAAATAATCAGTACCTGGTCGGCTTTGCCAGTCATAAAAACAGCTGCTTTTGTGCGTGGTCTCTCGGCGGACGGTGCAATAAAATGGGAATAGATTAGTTTCTGCAAACGCCTGGAATATGCAGGTCCACCGAAACTATCCCCACTTCTATGTGTTTTTCCCTCATGTAATAGGCATCAGTTGTATTCTACCTCTTGGGGCATTGCTTTTCTGCGAGTTATGGAGTGTTCTGGCAGACTTCAAAGCATCAACTGCAACAACTTGTGATCGTAAAATTAGGGAAACCGCTGTGAGTCTTTTCTAACGTCTTTTATTAGCACTGATCATTCACTGTTGTTTTCTATTAGATTCAGCGAAACGTGGGGTTAATTGAAAGGAGACAGAATCTATTTTGTTTTCCACTTTCCCCAATTCATAAGAACAAAATTGCTCCGAACAAAAATACAATTGACATCGAGCATGGATAATATCTATAGACGTCTCGACTAACACTTCGAGGGTTGACAAATAACTCGAATGTATTCGACACGTCGGAAGGACTTCCGTAACGAGTGATCTCCCCTACAAACACAATGAAGAAGAGACCTAGATCTTACCCTAACCCTGACCCAACCCCTACCCTTACCTCTACCTCTACCCTCACCCGTACCCTTACTGGTCTTACCTCTGCCCCTACCCTAAAGCTGGGAATTCATAGACACAGAAACTGAACAGCAGAAGAACTTCACGGGGACAGTACAGATCGCTCAAACAGAAATGCCATTGTCTGAATCGATTAGATCTAGTACGGAACGGCCGCAGGGTATGGCACCGTCAGTTCTGTTGTACCGCACAAGTTTTAAAAAAAAATCGGACACAGGAGCGATTCTGCCACTGCTGCAGAGGTGCCACAGAAAAAAATGTGGGCGTGGCGTCTAAATATTCCCGTGAAAATGACACGTTGCATAGTGGGCACTCTTGTTCCACGAACCTAGACAGTTTTGACTGGGTAGGTGCCATGCTGCTAATTATGCATCGAAATTAAACAAAAATGTTGCAAACCTGCCGTTTCCATCCCCCCCCCCCCCCCAAACCAAGGCAGTGCTACTGACTGAAATTGTCTTAAGGTCATTCCCAAAGGGGGGGATATATTAATATATTAACATGTTCTTATGCACAGTAGAATTGTAAATTGGCTGATTTATCAATGTGCCATGCTCACACGTACTGTGCCGGAACAACATAGGGGGAACTGCTGCTTTTTCTTTTCTTGTCCTTACACATCGTCATTTTTCCTCTATTTCTTTTGTATGTTTGTCACTCTCTTGTGAACTGCTATTTTCGGAGTGTCTTGATAGTCGAAGCAGACTTTGTGCTGTTGAGGCTGGAGAGGTGAGCAGAGTTTAAAAAGCCTGATTCCCTGTTTTGACTTCTCTGTTGACATCCACCCCTTGGCGCTCATATGACCTTATGCAGTTGCGAGTGCCGTAATACTTTACTAAAACAAGTCAAACCTGCCATGCCGTACCGTGTCTATGGATTCAAACATTGAAGTTGCCACTTGCGATACCGCACATTTCGTCCCGCTGCCGTTCTGCTGTCGTTCAGTTTCCGTGCCTATGGATTCCCCAGCTTAATCCTACCCTTACCCCAAACCCTAAGCCTCTATTATACTCTGTTTCATAGTGGTCTCTCGTTATATATGGAAGTCCTCCAGACACGTCCATAATATGGGTAAACTAGGATATGATACAAAATACCGGTAAGAGTGATATTGAACTTGTTCAGCGTTGAAGAAAGGGAAAGGAAGAGAGGTGATGCTGATGAGCCTCACAAGTAAAAAAAGAACGAAACTAATACAGTCAAACCTGTGTAAGACGGCCACCCATTGTCAAGGAGAAAAATGGTCGTATAAGACAGGTGGTCGTCTTAGGCAGGACTGATCAAGATGAAAAAAATGAACCATTCCCATCTGAGGTCCCAATCGAAAGTAGCTGCATTGTTGCTGTTTTTGTTGGTGGTGGTGGTGGTGGTTTGTATTTTGTTTGTAATTTTTATTTTGTTGCTGATTTTGCACAAGGGTGACAATAAAACGAAATGTATCAGACGAGAAAGACCGAGTGCCATGTTAAAACAAACACATGGGTCGCCACCCCTCGGAGAACGAGCGACGCTTCTGTCACAAGTTCATGTTGACGTCCTTTGTTACTTTTTTACAGACTCGGTAAACAGTGACCACTCATCTCACTTACGATTTGTGTATGAGTTCTGGGCGGGGCTTATGGGTTTTGAGGGATCACACGCTTACCTCACCAGCAGCTAAAAAGTGGTAGCTATTGGTCAACAGAGGGAGGGGCCACGCAACGTGATCGGTTGGAGGGACTACCGGTACCTAACACCAACGACAGGTGATTGAATTATGACGGCTCGCCTGCAACGCCAGGGGCCAATGCACAATTTATGACAAAACGTAATGGAGTCACTAAGGTGGCCGTTTAAGACAGGTGTTATTGCTTAGTGTGATAGGGGTTGTGTGTTAAAATATGGTGGCCGCGGCCGCGTTGGACAGGTGCCCGTTTTACACAGTTAAATTATATAGAAAAAACGCAAGGGGGGAAATGGAAAGTGGCCGTTTTTACAGGTGGCCGTCTTATAGAGATGGCCGTCAGGGCAGGTTTGACTGTATATTGCTTTTACATCAGATGATCACAATCAAGACAGTTTAACCAACACTAGTCAGAGCACACCACCCACCCCTTTTATGTAATTACTTCCTGATCCATACCTTTATGTTCGAACAGTCTCACTCACATGCATAAACTGAAATTCACATACATTTACTAACTATATGGCCCAATGCTGTACTGCATTGACTGTCTCCCATTACCCAGTATCCACCTCCACATTTTTAGATTTAGATTTTAGTTGAGTAAGGAAATTCTAGCATTTTATGCACGCCACAGGGATGTTTTTCTGGTGGGGAGGGGGGGGGGGGTTATTTTTTACTAGAACTAAACTAAAAGAACAATTAATTAATCTAAGCATTTGTTTTCTGTTTAACCCCATTTATATATAGGTTGTGTCTGTTAACCTTCGTTTTGTTTGAAAATACAACTTCGAAAAGTTTCAGGAATTTTCAGAAAAATCCCAGTGGCATCCCTAACCCTACCAATGCGATGATGTGTCTCGATAGGGGTCACAACGTGGTGGAATCAAGTGCTCGTCAGTTTTTGGGCATATGGGTATTATCTTAAAGTCTGTCCTTTTGCCTTGCTTTCGATGAAAAAAATATCCAATTTATCTTGGATACAAGTCGAGTTATTGGTGATGGAAAGGGGTCCAAAAATTAGTTAAATATCCTTAGGTTGAGAGCCCGTGGAAACTGAAAATTTACATGCCTTTAATCAATATTTATTTTTCAGTAAAATCCACACAGAAATGTTTTTTATTATGGGCACGATGGTGTTGAGCCAAAAAACAAAAATTCAATCAAAATTCTTTAACCTGCGGAAAAATACCTTTTTTTTTCTCTTTTTTTATAAATTTTGACGAGCGCTTGATTTCACCACGCTGCCTCACATAGACGGTGTATCACACTGTGCAGAGGTGAAACTGGTGGGCTCATGTAACCTAATACTCATGATGAGGACGGTTGTGTTTGTTTTCCATCTTGTGTATAGGGCTCTGTATAGTGTGATTTTCTGGAATTTGAGACGATTATCAGGAATAATTTGATTTTGCTTTTCAAAATGAACTGTTTTGATACATCTGTGGGGGTATTTGCAAAAACAGTGTTGCAAATGCAATTTGATACAAAAAATATACAGCTGTTTCGTCAGGGGCGAATGGCATATTGTTTGAGCTATCTGTAAATTTTAGTATTGGTTTGATATCAGTGGGCTTATTAAATATTTGCAACCTCATTTCTTAGAAATGCCGCCTTTGTCCACAACAAAACAGCTAAAAAAAGACTTGTCATTTAACTTGCTGTGGCCCCCATGTCTTCAAAGTGATTTACATTGATTTATTTCTGTTCTCAGGTGTGGAACTTTTTACCATCCATCAGTGAGGCCACAGGTCGATTGACACCACAGCGATATGTATGGCAGATCTGTATTGCACTACATTGCACCCCTCGCTTTCTGATTGCTCTGGGTTATCGTAGTGTTCACAGGGGCTTGTTCCCTCGGTCTGGTGCTCTAGCAAGGTTTGCTCATCTCTCAAGGGCATCTTACCTGCTGCATATGACAGAGATTTGTGCTCTTATTGGTTTGAGCATCATCTCTTCATCTGAGAATTATGGTTTGTACTTTATATTGGTCTACTGTTTTAAAAATTTGTCCATAGTGTATTTGCCAAAAGCAAAAGGTCAGCATTTTGTAAATGCAATGTACAGTGATAAGGAGAATGTGCTTTCCCCTAAAGCATAGAGGCATCATGACATGATGTTGAGTATTTTCTATTCACATAACGTATTGGTTTTATTAGTGAGATTTATTTGGTTACGGTAGGTTTTGGTTTTTCTAAGTACACTTTTCTTTTTTGGTAATAATTTTTAGGGGTTTCAAAGAATTATTGCAGCTACAGTCAAACTTGCTGTAACGACTATCTGTCCAAGACAATCACCTCTGTTCAAACGACCACTGGCCACTTCTCCCCTTGCATTATATTTTTCTATATTTTAATTGCACTGTTGAAGATGTCCCCCTGTCTAAACAATCACTTTTCTACTCAACAAAAGGTGGCAATCTTGGACAATTTTGATTATATTGCCTGCTTTTGGTTTATATAATCTGTCACATTGTTTGACTTTTGTAAGTCTGGTATAGTTCTAATTGGTTGTTGAAGACATTTTATTTTTCAATCTGTCCCCCTACTTCTTAAGGTCATGGAGTTTTTATTTTTATCCTTATTTGTTCATATTTTGTTTTGATATAATTTTAATGTTAGATGAGTTGTTCAGTTTCAAGAGTGACATGAGACTTGATTTAAATTTATAAGTTCTATGAGTATACATTGTTAAAATTATGACATGGTTCTTCCCTCAGAGATTCACAAGTTTTGCTTCATCACATTCATGCTCTGTGCCACCCTACATATGTTGTCAATGTGTGTACTCTATGGACCTGGATTGAGAGCCGTACAGTTTGGAGTAGATGAAACAGTGAGTTGAAGCAAACTCATCCTCTTGAGTATATTCTTTTTTTTTCTTTTGTGTGCTTTTTTCAAATTATTGGGGGGGGGGGGTCTATTTTTAATTGAAGAAGTTTTGATCCCGATGCAGTGGAGTCCAGACTGAGAATTTTTTGTCCTATTCATACTTTTAAAACAACTGTTTTTTAGCCAACAAAGGATAGTAGAATTTATTTTAATAATTTTCAAACAGCAGTATTTCATGGAAAAGGGTTGAAATTATCAAAGAACAGAAAACTTGTTTGAAAACTTGGAAACTTGAGAATGACATGGGGAGGTTCAGAACCCCCCATCTAAAAAAAACGAAAAAACAAAAACAAAACAAAAACAACTTTCAAAATCTTTTATTTGAATTTAACTGTTGAGAATGTTCGGTTCGACAAGTATGATAAAGATGTGTGGCTTGTGCTGCTCTATTTGGAAGGAAACATGCCACTATTAAAAGTTTTATTCTTTTCAGCTTTTATTGTCCTGTTTTTATATTGCGGATTTCATAAAAAAGTAAACAATTTTTAGGTATAGCCTTTCTTTTCTTTCTTGGGTTTTCTACTTTGTTAGAATTTAGATCAGCATATTTGAGATCCATATTTTTTTGGGTACAAATTTGATAGACCTAATTACAATGACCTATTAGATAGAGTATTTCATGAATAACATTTGATTATTTTTCAGACATTTTCTGATAATTTGGGGTTGTTTTTTTTTCAGGAGGAAAGGTCTCTGAGGCTAAAGCAAATCCTTACTTTTGTGAACATTACCACTTTCGTGGTTGCCATGTACTTCTTCTACCGTCACAACACATATTGTGAAGATGGAGGTAATGTTTGCTTTTTTTTCAATCTTTAGGTCTCAGGGTTTTCTTTTTTTTTTTTGGTCAGTCTCATGATATAAAGCATCTATAGTGCTTGATTTATAAGAAACACAACACAAATTATTATTTTCTTCTTTCTCCTGCTGTATCTTCTCTTTTATGATATTTTTCTCCCCACTCTTCCGCCTCAACCTTTTTCACCAGCATTTCTTCTCTCTCAAATTCTTTAGTTGTCTGTCGTTAGGAAAATAATAGTTTTATGTGACTTTTAAATATCCCTTTATTCCATAAAGTTTGAAAGACTAACTTCTTGTTTTGTTCTATATTTGCTTGTGTATCTTTCTATAGATGAAAATGCAAATCTAGTTATAACTCATTAGCAGAGACTTTGAAAAGTGAAGCATATTTCTGCTTCAATATATTTTTTAAAAGCCAAATAATGTAAGTATGATTCTAAATTTAGCAATTTGTAAGAAACACATGAGATAAATGTCCCATGAACGTCCTTGTTAACTCACTGGCTACCAGTGCCACCTATGACGCGGTCATAGAACTGGTTCGACTGACTACCTTTGCTGCAGCCCTTGCAGTTTTTTAGTTCAGGGGGGGGGGGGTTCATTACTACCGCAGCATATTTAACGTGGGTACTGCTTTTAGAAACTTCAACCACTTCTGCACCGAAATTGCAGGAAAAGGGTAGAAATGCCCTTTTCGTGCTCTAAGTGCCATTGTGCATAGGACAATGTTTCCATTTTTATCACACGAAGGAGAGTTACTGGCTGTAACAAACTGTGACAATTGGACAGACTGTTGCCATCTCTATTCTTTTTTGTGCTCTCTGTAGGCATGTGCCACAAACAATAGGCAGAAAACATTTTAGTTGCATACAAGTCACGTTTGATTTGTTTTCTTTGGTCCTAATTTGAGGTACAACCATGGTTCTGCAATTTCCAGACCTTTAGACGAAAGAAGGAAATTGCTTTCTGTTTGCTGTCTAACAATCTTTATTATGTCCATAATAAGTGTGCATAGTTTCATGACTTTATGTTAGTTAGTTTTGTCACAGTGATCGTTTGGAAAACACATAGAAATAGCAGGTACGCAGGGTACATCAAAGACAAATATGATGGGTAGCCAAGGAGTTGAAGCGTGCCTTCACTTAAACACTGATACTAATACTCACACACTTGCACATGCACAAACACACACACATGACACACACCCTTATCAGCGCTCACACTTTGGTATCTGATCTAAGGTGGGATGATTATAATTTTTTAAAGCTAGTTCTTGGATGAATCCATTCCTTGAATGATTCCTTGGCTAAAACATGCTCAGGATTCCCAACTTAATAATCAAACAAACTGGAAAGTTTAACTATCAGAATCATTTTTAGGCATATTTTGCTCCTAAGGTAAAAAAATATTTCAACACTGAGAATTTACTGTGAATTACTTATTAATGGAAAACGGTAAATTTGAGATTTGAATTTATAATGTGTGGTATGCAGATTATGCTTTCTTTATTTGGCAACAAATCAGCCTTGAAGGGAGAAAAATATGTCTATTCATTTTATGGAAAAAAAACTTATAACACTTTATAACAAAAATTATTATGTTGTGTGTGCGGTTGGTGGGACTTCTCTTGCACAGGGGTCGTAACAACAATGTGGGAAGTGCAGGTAGAATAAAACTGGTTGTTTCCCTTCAACTAAGTGTCGGATTTGAAAGCAGCTCATGTAATACATATATTTTGGCAGCAGATTGGCATGATGAAAAGATAACAATAATACCGTACTGGTTGGGAAAAGTGCTGATTTGAGGTAGAGGAAAATTATGTTCTTCTATTGTCTGTGTGTGGATATATGGTATGATGTGCTGGAAATATCTGAGAACTGAGGATTTATTTTTTCAGTGTGTTTACATTGTATTTACTTTTACTACACTTTCAGTATGTTTAGGTACCAGTACATACATGTACTTGTAGATTTAATTCTTTGACTTTCATTGACATGCTGTGCTATATATATATATTTTTTTTTTACAGACACCATGTAGATTATTACAAAAGATAGTTTACTATCTTAACTTTTGGCGACACTGTGGGTGGTTGATGGGTGCTCTGGCGTGGTTTGCTCCTTCTTTCCTATCAAACACCTATCGTCCTGATCTCTCTCTTCCTTCTTTTTTATATGTTACTCTCTTGTAGCACATCTAATCTTCAGCACTTATATGACCTTATAGTATTGCAAGTGTCATAAAACTCTTACTAACTTGTGGCAGCGGAGGTGTAGTGGTTTGGCAGTTGTGCTTGCTTTCAAAATGTCATGGGTTTGAACCCTGCCAGGGGGTCAACATTATGTCGTTGGGAGAAGCACTTTACACGAACTGTCCTCAGAATCACCCATGAGGGAATGGGTACTCGGTTTTATAGACAGAAAAATCTCATCAATTTGAAAGTGTTTGAGCGCATAATCAGCTGCTTGTAGTGTATCCTTCCTAGGAAGCCAAGAATGTTCCTGAGTGTACTAGGGTCTGCTGGGGTAATAATATAGATTATGAAGTAGGTAAAACTTGCTGTTGAACCGATATATGCGCTATACAAATGCTACTTATTATTATCATTATTATTATAATATCTTTTTTTCTTTTTCTGAATCAAAATCCTGATAAAACGATTGAGTAATAGCTTTCTGTTCAATCCACAGTGTACAGTCTGTTTGCCCTGTGTGAGATAGTTGTGGTGGTCACCAACATTGCATTCCACAGCACTGCCATGCTAGATTTCAACAAGTCTCATGTGGTTTTACAAGATGGAATTGGCAGATGATGCTGCAGTAATTTAAAATACTTTTTGATTAGTCATATATATACAGTATTTATTGTTAACTGTGTAAAATTATATGTCTGTGTGTTTTGATCACTTCTGTGTATATTAGCTGGGAATGGTGTTCATATTATTGTTTGTTGGTTGGAGGCTCTAGCTACTTTTTGACAAAATTTTATAAGTAAGGAGCTTATCATGACTGTACAGCATTAAATTTTGCAGCATTTACTCAAAAGCTGTGCTGAATCGTTCAAGTCTTCCATTTGTATATGTTTTTGTCAACTTTCTAATTGTACGTTGTTGTTTTTTATAGTCCATTTTTTTACATAAGTGTTTCATGATAAATGTCGTCAGATGTCGGATTAGAAATTGTGCGTGATGGAAGTTGTGTCCTTTTCATGTTGAGGCGATTTTCTTTCGGACAGTTGTTTATCCTTTTTTGAGACTTATCAATCTAATCTTTTGTTTTTACAATAGATTTTAGATGCACATGAGAAAATAAGTGTGCTTTGTGCATCTTGGTAGTTACCTGTAAGCCTATTCACTCAAAAATCTTCCCTCCTTTTCTTGGACTTTCCTTGTCGTCATTTTTAGCATTATCAATAATGGGCTTCATTCTATATTGGGTACTCTTACTTATGACAAGCTGATGCCTGTTACAGGCTCTACCTTTCGGAGGTTTTGAAAGTATTGTTTTAAACCTGTGAATAAAGTATGTAGGGTAGAATTAAAGTGTTGTTAAAATCTCTTTGATATACAAGGAACACCCCTTTGGGTGTATTTGTCTTTTCTATCTATATTGTAATATATTTATAATAGAAAGGATAAGATATATTATACACAGACACCCAGACACGCGCACACACACACACACACACATGCACACACACACACACACACGCGTACATACACACACATACACACACACACAAAAACCCCAAGACTCATTGGTTCACTAAAACACACACACATTTGATATCGGTAGCGAGCTGTTCAAATGTCCTAAACGCAAACTTTTTCAGGAGAGAGAAAATAAGGTTTCGTTTTTCTAAGAAATTGTATCTTGATAATGGGTTATTTTTTTTTGGTGGCTATCATCAACATTTTGAATTTGAATTTTGTTGAAACTTTTCTTGGGTACATGCAACCGATACCACTGATTGAGAAACTGCGGTAAAAAAACAAAGCAAAACAAAAAAAAAGAGTTTTCAATACACATGAACAGCTAGCGATAATATATTGGTTGACTTCCCTTTGACTGAAACCAGGTCATATATCACAAGTTTTTATTTTGGAGCTTTGGTTGTGGTAGCATTTTACACGTCATGTATTATGCAGGTTATTTTGAAGTACCATTCTAAGATTTAGTAACTCCACGTCATTCCATTTTTAAGTTAATGACTTTGTGATATGGATGGACATCATGCTTGGCTTACTTGGTGTTTTGATTTATCTGTTTCATGTAAGTGTTCACATATACTATGTTGCCATTACGGAAGAAATTTACACTTTTGTCTTTTCTAAGTATATAGGCCTACTATATGTATTTATTATGGTGATTTTAATCAAATCAAAAATGTTGACACCATTCTGCTGATACGAACACCAGATAATCTACAAATGGCATTATGAGATTTCTATCCCTTACTTCTCACATTTATTTCTACGCCACCATTTCCAATGGAAAATGCAAACAGCAATGTTATTTTTTATATAAGGGACCAAATGTTTTTGCAGAATATTTCTGAAAGTTGATCTGTATATAATTTTTTCTTTTTTTTGGGTCTTTTTTTAAATGCTAGAGTTGATTCACTTTCCTGATTGAAAGACTTGTACTACTGAGTGTGGCGAAAACTGTTCGTTTTTTTCTCTTATTTGTCCATTGACATCGTTTTATTTGGTTCTACTAGTGCTGTTTTGATTATTCTAACTTTTGCAATTTTACTTAAATTCTTTGAATAAACATTTACATAAGAGAATGAGTCAATTCGATATTCTTCTCATGAGTTTGAAACTTCTTTTTTTTGAAACCTGTTTTGAATATTTCACGTGCTTTTGTTAATGTGTCAGTCTTACAGTTTTCTGTTTTTGGAATGCAATGCTCAGTGCTCAGTACTAGAGCTGGCTTGCATGTGAAATTTTTATGATGCTAATTTCTTATGTCCCTAATCTACTGCAGTCTTTAAATGGGCTAGGTTGAATGGTTACTGCACTAAGTACTGCCTCCATTCATTTGTATTAAACAGTGTGGGGCTATGTCTACTTGAAAAAAAAATCATCTAGTTATTTCAAGGGCAAACCGAATGAACCAGCATCTGCAGTGAAGTGGTTAGGCACTTCACTGTCGCATGCAGAAGATCCAAGTTCGACTCCAGATTGGGGAGAATTTTTATCGAATACCTTGGTGGTCTTTCTACTGGGACATTGCATCCCTTTCAGCTCGGGTTAGCCTTGACAGGCAGTGTCAACATGTGGAGCTTCATGGTTCAAGTGTGAGTGAGGTCTGAATTTCCTCGTCCTTCCTGTAGGGTTTTTACCCCTCAAGACTTTTGAGTGGCTGGTGAATCGAGCACTCTGCCTTGAAAATGGACTCTTTCTTGCTCTCAAGGCATACCTTGGGTTAAATAGAACAACTTGCAAGCTGCTTGTTTTTCTTTTAGCAACTAGGTAACAGCACCCTTACCACCACCACCATATGTGTCACGATACTGTAGGATCAGGCGCTTGTCAAATTTTGGGCATCTTGAGTTTTTGTCTTGCATTTGGTGAAAGATTACCCATCTATCTTGAATAGAAGTGGAGATATTTGCCATTGAAGGAGGTGGGGGTTGACTGATATGAAAGGTAAAATTAGTGAGAAAATGGCTGCCAAAGTTGGGAGACTTCCAAAGCTTGAGTATCCTTGGAAACTGGAAATTTACATTTTTTGTGTGCCTTTAATGAACGTTTTTCGGTACCATTCACACAGAAATATGTTTTGAAAAGGACATAAAAGGTATTGAGGCAAAAAAAGAAAATTTTTTAAAAATTGCTCAAGTCCGGAAAAATGCCGGTTTCTCTGATTTCACTGTTTTGACGAGTGTCTGATATCATCACGCTGCCTCATATATTACAATTCAAAGACACAAAGTAGAAAGAGGTATACTTTGCTGTTGTAGTATTCCTTTACTTTTGCTGCCACACAGTTACAGATTTTTTTAACGCTGAAGTTGAGAATCTTTCCCTGGCTGGCATCTGAGATGTCTTGGTTAAGTGCTTTGCTGATGCACACAGAAGACTCGAGTTTAATTCCTGTGTGAGGAGAATTTTTATCGATTGTCTTAGTCTTTCTGCGGGGCTTTGTTTCCCTCTCATTCCACCTCCTAAATGATCTAAATTGTGTCTATGGGGGCATTAAAAAAACCTTCATAAAAAAGCGAAAATGTAATCTTGTTCTCATAAGCAGGTGCTAATTGTTCAATACTACACACAGCACAACACAGTGCAACTTTCTGCTTCAAACAGACATCATATTAAGCATCTCAAACAAAGTATGCAAAGCATTCGGTCATAGGTTTTTGTGAGTATTTATTTTTGCTTTTTCGAGGTCATCATTTACATGTAAAAACAAACGATAAAAAAGGCATGGGTAATGCAATCATTCAATAATGATCTTATAAAAGAAACAACTAATGAATTAGCCTTCTGATAATTGAAGAGAAATTGGAAGTTTTATTCATGCACATATGAAAAGACTTTTTCTTGGCATATCGAATGCAGATGGATCACACACAAATGAAAATCAAAAAAGTCTCTCCTAAACATTGTATAACAACAATTGAGAAAACAATGTTTTACTGTCTGCACTGCTTGCAAACCATGCAAAAATTGGTACACGTACGTGACTTTAGGAGTCAACGTCATGACAGTCATAACATAGACAGCACTACAGTTGTAATATTTTGGTATTCGGCTTGATAGCACCAAGCACAATGCGATGAACATCATAAATCATTTGTCATCTCTAAAACATTTGAATAAAGGTGTGACAATTCTTCAGTGATTTATACAAAAATATGATGAAAATAAAACAAAATTGAGAGCCTTTAACAAATGTGGAGCAAGAACATTATAATTATGTAACTAGGGTGTAACCAAATATCTTATAATTTTGGTGTATTCAATTTATTTCCTTTTATGAACTTTTGAAAATAACATTAAAGACATCTGATTTACACATTCAACCACTCTTTGTTCGTGAAAGAAACACACAATCCGTCACATCATTGAAAGCTTTGCGGAGTGGGAATGATTTGGACTGTTTGCAGCTTAAAATACATAAGATGAGACAGGTAAACTGAGGAACCATGCACAGCGCAAAAACTGCTTTTTTTTGTCATGACCACACTCACTCAAAGATGAGAATGAAATGATGCTGAAATTGGCAAGACTTTGAAAAACTCAAATTGCTTTAAAAGAAAACTGAAATAAATAGTGAACAGGTGATTGTGGAATAGAAGGTAAAGAAACAACAATTGAGGAGAGAGCACTACAGCAGTCGTGTCATGACCAGAGCTGTCAAACTCAGAATATGTCAAGCCTCACAGAGTTCACAGTCCAAGTACAGTTCATATGTTTCTTTAGTGTTGTAATTTATTCTTTTGCCTTTTGAAAATAACTGAATTAAAATACTGCCGGTATGTATACGCTATAACAGAACGGAGGACTCAGTATGGCAGTCCCTGACAGTTGCATTGAATATTTTAAAATTAAACATGAATTCCTATGTACAGATATTGGTACATAAAAACAAAGAAGGATAACTCTTCGATTAGATGCTAAAGTTTTTTTTCCTGAAAGCAGCTTTTCATTGCTTTTGAAATAATACGACACCTTAATTGCATATTTGGAGTATTATTTCCAGCAAAGGGAAACTTCTAGAAGAAGTGACCCCTGGTAATCAAGATATCATGACTTGATCAAAATCCAAGCCTGTATACGAACTGTGAGACTGTTGTGACTCTGTGCTACATTACATATGTCTGAGTTTGAAACTTTTGTCATGAGTTTGTTCACTTTGGGCAATGGTGCTGGCATGAGGACAATATCTACAAGTCATGATATACTATGTACGCATGAATCGAATCTTCACAGATCCAGACTTTTTGGAAACATTATTATTATTATTACAACAGCTTTAGCATCAGAAAGTTGAATAATGACAACACGTTTCACAAGAAGATTTGAGAAGGATGAAATGAGACACTTCTTGTGTGACGATTTTGTGTTGATATAAGGAATGAGAAAGACGATGTGTACTTGACTCTGGCGTCACTATTATAACATATTATTATAGAAAATGGAACATGACAAGGGGCTGAGAGGAGAGTGAGTTCGGGTGAGATCAAAGTTTTCAGACACCAAAGTGTTATTCATATAGCTTTTCAAGTTTTACAGGGGGGTAATACATTTTACTGTTTGTTGTCTAAAGGTCAGTTCAGTTGTTTATCTCATGATCAGAGACAGTTGAAGCTTAGATGTAAAAAAAAAAGAAAGATGTTTTCATAAATGTAACATAAATTTGATGACTTTTAAAAAGCCAAGAAAAGAGCGTGCCAGTAAAAAATCTTACTTGAAATATACAGGTGCGTTTCTTCAAGTTTTTTTTAGATATCTGCATCACTTACTCAATCAACAACCAACCCCACTCTCCCTTTTGTCCCCTTCTTGATGATATGATATGTCTCGTATGTGTGTTACATATGTTGAAAAAAATGAGATGCTTTCCACTCTTCCGAGGTACTTGTGGTATCGATAGGCAAAATCAAGGCAAGACTTAAACTTGTAGACCAGAATTTGTTCAAGTTCACATGCGTACATCATCTATAAATGATACAAGTGTCATTAGCAGTTCGTTTGTTTTGTTTTTTAATCACCTACTAAAAAAAAAGGCATTCATCTTCCCATTCTGACTAACATGCGTACATCATCTATAAATGATACAAGTGTCATTAGCAGTTCGTTTGTTTTGTTTTTTAATCACCTACTAAAAAAGAAGGCATTCATCTTCCCATTCTGACTAACTTTGCATAGTAATGAATGCAAAATCTGGATGGTTTGACACTGTGAAACAGCTTGTACTGAGAGATTCAAATGCAAACCCATTGCAATCTACCATACCTAAACAATCATACTTTCCCTTTTCGGGGCAAAAATCTACTAATGCAGATAATAGTATATGTGCAACAAACATGTGTTTAACAACTCAAATCTTCACTCACAAAAAACATTCACACTTGGGAATGTTAGACAAACAAACAAAATGCCAAGCATATATCCGTGACGGGTTCACAATTGATCTAACCCAACTCAGCCATGAACTCAAGAGGCACGATTCTCCATCAGAAGATAATTTATGAGTGTGCACAATCTATTGTCCAGTGTATCAAAACACAGCAGTGTTTTAATTGTAGAGCTAGACAAAACCGTCACTTACAGTCTGTGATGAGAAATCATGAGAGTCCACACATCTACAATCATGCTGAAATCTGATACTCTTCGCTTCGCCAGTTTTCAGACACACACAAAAAAAGGAAATTTCTTTATATTTTCAGACAAGTAGTTGATATAAAGCTCCTATATTAAAGCATCCAAAACATTTCACTAGTCACGCCACAATACACTACGTTATCTGATTCTATCACTTTAGAGTGATCCATATTTTATACTCAGCCTGACCCATTTGTCATCCCAACTAAGTTCTCTCAATCCAAAAACAAAGAAACGAGAAAAACACAGTCATCTTTCCCACTATCATAAAGGTTTTTGTACCAAAACATTTAGATCAATAATAAATCTACACACGGATATTCGGTAGATTCACTGTAAATCTCTCTTCAGTCATCCCGAAGCTTGTGCCGGCACAAAATCACTTTTAGTCAACAGTACAATATTATTAATGCTGCAAAAACAGTATAAAGTGCCTTTTGTCCATGTCTCTTTTCCATTCATTCTGCAATCACTGTCGAGCAAAAGACATAACCTGTCCATAACTGAAATATTTTTTTTATAACAACAAAAGGGCAACGGAAATCACTCGATAATAAGAAGACCAACAAGAAAAAAACCCCAACAACAACAACAAAAAACTAAGCCTTGTTTCCCCTCTCTCCACCATCCCCCCTGGTCTTCCATTGCTCTCTCTCTCTCTCTCTCTCTCTCTCTCTCTCTCTCTCTCTCTCTC